AAGTTTGTTGCACAGAGATGTTCATTGTAGTAGCATAACTTAAATTAATAAAAAAATTGAATATGCCCTAAATATTTAACAATCATAATCATTTAGTAAATTATGATATAGCCACAAGAGGAATATTATACAGCCATAAAAATCATACTCATAAAAGATTAATAACATAGAGGTTTCTCCTTATGTTAAATGAAAAAAAATAGAAATACAAAGAAATACAAATAGAAAAAAATTATAGAGAATATGATCTCACATAAAAAATAGAGTATAAAAACTAGACAGAATTAAAATAAAATGAGAGTAGGCTTTCTCCCTGATAATTTTAACTTTTTTTGCCCAAATCTCTGTCAAGCATTTCAAGATCTGTCTTCTGGAAAGCGAGCAAGCCTTATGGTCTACTTTCACGTCATAAAACCTTTTTAAGAGGCAACGATTTAAGGCCTTCTTTCTAATAAAGTTTCCGGTGTGGCTACAACTTTTTATGGAATTGCTGGCTAAGCCTTTGATGGCCGTACATGTTGCAAGCATAGGGTAGCCATGAAAAAGGGAATTTCTTCTCCAAAGAGGAGTCCTGGCACAACTGAGTTTCACCTGTTCCTGGGGCATCATGATTTTTATCCCAGGAGAAGTATTATTTGCCAAAGAAATCTTTCACCATGTCAAAAATATCAACAGCCTCTGAAATTCCCCAAGCATCTCACCAAGCAAGGATTCTCTGATAGCGATGGTGAGGACATAATGAATGAACCAGTTTCCGGAAGCACATTAGAGAAAAACCAGTTCCTTTATGGCTGCTAAAGATATGCAGTGAGGGAAATCTTGAAAGGCAGGCCTTCATTTCATTCTTTTCTTCTTTTGCTCCAAACCTCACTCAGCCTGACTATCTCTTTAATACACAACTCATCAAAATATCCCCCAATTTATTGTGAGTAGCTTCATTGGCTGAATAACGGGCTGACCACTCTTGCTGAGTGCATCTAGGGCTTTGTCTTGGGGAAAATGAAATGTTGGGGAATTTCTAAGCTTTAAAAATCAAATCTTATTTTGAAAATGATCCAGATGGTGCAATTTATTTGGAGAATGGACAGCGTAAGATGCACCCGTGGCACTGCAGGATTTGTGTCCTGTAGCAATACATACGGTATTTCCCCATGTATAAGACACAGCTTTTTTCGAAAAATTTGGGGTCTGAAAACTGGGTGCGTCTTATACAGTGGTTGTGGATTTCAAATGCCATAGATGGAACTGAGGACGAGGCAATCTATGAAGACAGTGATTCATCTTCAGATGACGACAAGCTAATGGTTGGCAGTGATGAGGAGTTGTATAAATTTTATGATGAATAAAACTTGAGTTCAATAACTTTATGTAATACTTTTTTTTTTCCAAATTTCGGGCCCCAAAATTAAGGTGTGTCTTACACATGGGGAAATACGGTAACTGCTTTAGTAGTCAAAGTAAAACCAAAGGATGCTATCGGAAGCTACTGCGTATACTTTCTGTTGTCATTTTCCAACTTAAGTATATATCCTTAATGCAAACAATGATAGATATCCATATTCCTAATTGTGGCATACATTTGCATTAATCCCCATCAAAGGGAAGCTGTTCTAAATATGACAACATGGTGGCCACAAGATGGTTGCACATTGCCTGCTTTACACAGTAGCATCTTCAGCCACCTGTACTTATTTGATGGCACAGGAATTAATGGCACATTTTTGACATTAAAAATAAAAAAAGCAAATTTCTCTCACAATGACAATTTTTGAAGTACCAGGAGGAAATTTTTGTTTTTTCAAACTTTTTTCATTGACTCTTTAAAACTCATTCATGGATATTCCTGGTGTATCAGTTTCCTAGGGCTTCCATGACAAAGTACCACAAACTGGGCTTAAAACACCACAGTGTGGGGTCTCACAGTTCTGGAAGCTAGAAGTCTCTAGCTTCAGTCTCTAGAAACCAACGGGTCTACAGGGCCTCTGTAACCAGGAAGGCAGAACCCTTCCTTGCCTCTTCCTCGCTTCTAGTGGTTTGCTGATGATCTTTGACGGTCCCGGGCTTGCAACTATATTAGTCCCATTTCCGCCTTTATCATCATGTGGCATTCTCCCTGTGTCTCCATGTCTTCACGTGGCCGTTTTCTTAGAAGGACACCAGTCATAACGGACAGATTAGGGGCCCACTCTATTTCAGCAAGACCTCATCTTAACTAATTACATTTGCAACCACTCTATCTCCAAATAAGGTCATATTCTGAGGTACCGGGGGTTAGGACTTCAACTTATCTTTTTTTGGAGTGACATAATTCAACCCCTAACTCCTGAGGCCCATGGACCTGGGGTTAAGAGCCTGCTGAGAGAGACAGAGGGGATCCTGGGACCAGAGACTATGAAACAAGCGTGCAGAGAAGAAAGTGAGAGCAACACAAGTGAAATCCACTTTGCAGTTTTGCCATGAAGTCAGGTGGCAGTGAGTGATCACTTGCTGCTGATTTTGGTGCAAGGACTGTACTTGCTGATGGCGACATTTAACCAGTTCCTAGCTGAAGACTCTCAAGCTCTATGCTTGAGTTGAGGTGGCAAAGTGAAAATTATGGTTGTGTCCAGAACATTCTCTGTCGATGCCATATGTTTGAAAATGTCTGAATTTTGTGCAGGGACACACAAGCAGTACTTTTTGTAAGTGGAGTTACATAATCAGGGCATGGACTTGCATAATAATTAGCATGTGTAATTAGGCACCGACTTCTTGTCCTTTAATTAGACAATCAAGACATCTAATTACAAAATTAAGATGCAATTACGTGGCCCAAGATGACATATTCCTTTCTACCCATTAGAGATTACATTTAGAAAATAATTCACAAAAACCAATGAAGAAATGAACCTAGAAACCAGATCTGAGATGTTGAGGGAAGTGTTAAGTGTGCTGGTAAGTCTCCTTTGGTTTTTCCTCTTAGGTGTGAGGGGAGTTAGTTAAAATCTTATAGACGACTTGAAAGAGTAACTTTTATGCCCTGTGCTGTCAACCTGTCGCGCACACGCTAATGAAGAGGAATGTGGGCATGACTAATCCATACAATTCGCACGTGGCTCTTGAGTATGGCTTGTAATTACACTTGAACATGGACTTAAATGTGATGTCCTGGGGATTCATTCAAAGCTGATTATGCAGCCATACGGTGGAAACATCAGTCGGGAGAGCTGGGAGGAGACGGGCCCTTCCCTTTCTGCCCTGGCTTGGGTCACTCCGTGGCCATTTGAAAAGCAGACCCATTGCTCAGAATAACACAAATCGATACTTAAGCTGGGTTGGCCTTTCCCTGAGTATTTGAGTACTAGATGAAAAGTCCTTATTTTAACTGCTCCTCATTGGGCTGCAGGTGGGAAAGGGGTAGGTCCAAGACTATCACACCTATTTCATCTTTCTAATGATAAGTGAGTGATTCTTACAGCAGTTTTTTTTGTGTGTGTGTGTGTGTGTTTTAAGTTCCAGTGCTGCTATGAAGCCCGGCTGTATTGACACTCTCTGTATTTTTTTCTTGCTCCTAAATTAAGATTTGGCTGATCTCTGCATGATACTAAACACCCAGTTTGACTCATTAATTTTTCTGAACTAACTGAACTTTTGACCTAATTAGCTGGCTGATTAGGGATTACAGCCATATGTCCAGGTTTTTTGAAGCCAGTTCTGACTTTCACTCTGTTATCCCTCTGTTCCCATAAACTGTTGAAATACCCTAGCAATTCCAATGTTTTGACAGCCACACTGCACTTCTCAGACTGCCGCTTTCTCCTGGAAAGTGGCACAGAAATCTGTCGGGCCACATTTCCTGATTTTTTGGTTAAGAAAATATGCTTCCCATATGGTTTTAGGCCGTGAAAACAAAGACAGAAAGAGGTTTTAAGCGGTTGGTGATGAGGTCTTGTCTCCACGGTGCGTTCCCTCCCTCCCTGTTTTTTTCTCTATTAGGCCACGGAATGTGATGAGGGACAAATTACGTGCAGCGGTCAATTTTGGTCAAGAAAATACACAAATCTGCACAGGGAGCTTATTTTTGCTATTGTTAGTTTTTCCCCTTGCCTTCTGAGACAATTCTTCATGGTGGGCTTTGAGGCAAAGGAACTGAACTGGGCAGAAGTGGGGTTTTTTTTGAGAAAGTTGGCTGATGCTTTCTGCTTTATTGCTTTCAGCAGGAGGTGCTCAAGAGCTCCTGGTGGGGCAAGCCCTCTTCTTCTTCAGTGTCACGAGCTTCTGGCTGTGCAGGATGGCACTGGCTCTGCGGGTGGCAGCCATGCCCAGCTCCGGGGGGTACTTGTCCCTGCGGATCATGTGCTGGATGCTGCTGAAGGTGGCCTGGGTGTTCTTGTTGATGGTGGTCCGCACGTAGTAGGTGGCTGGCTTTCGCTGGCCATATCTCAGCTTCATGACGACCACCACACCTTCGCCGTCGCCTGCTGGCTCCACGCCCACCGTCTTGCGGTGAATCAGCCCATTGTAGCGGAAGGAGTTGCGGGCCTTCAGATTATTGGGCTCAGTGCTGTATGTCTGCTTGTTCCTTTTGATCAGGAAGCTGGAGCAGTTGCGCACGACCATCCACTGCAGATGCGCAGGCATGGCGACAGCTCCTCTCGTTGTGGTAGCAGTAAACGGAAAGAGCTGGGCAGAAGTGTGTTTTAAAAAACAATTCATTGATGGACAACTTAGGTGGGAAAGGGGCATTTGGACTAGATCATCTCGAAGGTGTCTTCTAACTCTGAGATTTCAGGATTCCTTGATCTCTATCCTGTCACTCAATCAGGAGGAATTTACTGAGCTCTATCTATGCTACTCACTCACCTATCAGCTTCTACCTCATCAGTCCTCAGACGTTGTCAACTGGAATCTTCTTCTACCTTTACATCTGGAGAACTCAATAATTCTGATTCCTTATAGGGCCGAAAGCATGAATGCAAACTTCGGTTGCTCTGTTTTGAAAATTTGCTTTTCCCCTCCAGGTACTCCACATCAGCGTTTTCAAGGCTGGAGAAGTTGGGCATCAGACATCCCAAGCCTTCCCCTTTTGTTGGAAACCTGACATTTTTCCGCCAGGTAAGAGCTGTCCTCTACTGCCTTCCAACATGAGACATGCTGAGCCCAGTGCAGTTTTACCCATGAAGCATTGCCCCCATCTCAGTCACCTACACCTGGGGTGGTCTATCTGTGAAGGCGCTATGTGAGAAGCTTTCCTCTACTTGCGTGAATTCTTATGTGATGACAATAATCCATCACTTATCACTCACCAATATGTGCTGAGTCCTGTCATCCCATTCATTCATCCATTCGCCCAAAAAATACCCATTTATTAGTGTCTAAATGTGCCAGGCCCTGGAATGCTGAAGAATTAGAAGTTACTTCTGCCCTCAGGGGCACACATCAAATAATGGCGGACAACACCAGATGGGATATATCCTAGCGCTAGGCTGGGTGGTTGTCCTTCAAAGGAGAGGGAGATCTATCAGGGCTAGAATCATCTTAGAGGACTTCCTGGAGAAAGGGGTCCTGGAGGAGCGATAGACACAAAGACAAGGACACACAAATCAGGTGGGGAGTGACAGTGAATGTGATTGCACCTACATGAGAACCAACACACAGCTTTGTAAGCAGCCTGGACTGACAGGAAGCCAAAGATTGGGGAACATGGGGAATGCAGCTATGAGAGAGAGAGAGAGAGAGAGAGAGAGAGAGAGAGAGACTGACTAGATGCCTGACAGTCTAGAAAGGCAAGTGAAGAACTGTTTGTGTACTATCATTTATGAAGGAGAGTGTAGGCAAAGTGGAAGATTATAAGGGAGAGAATTTAGGGGTTAGGTCTGTAGAATCCAACTGTTATTGAGGTCTAGGTGTGAAGTGGCAAAGACCTGGCCGGGGTGGTGATGAGAGTAAAAAGAGAAGGACGCTGGGGGCAAAATGAATACAGCTCATGACGAATTAGGTCCAGAGACTGCCAGGCAAGATGAGTCGATGTGCCTCTAACTTTGGAGCCCCGGTAGCAGGGAGAATGGCCATGAGTTGACAGAAATAAAAGGTCCGGAGGGCGGCTGGCTCATGGAGATGCGTTTGATTTGCCAGAGTGGCGTGGAAGTGGAAACGTCCAGCAGGCCTTTGTAGATCTAGGCCCAGGACTCTATCTTCTCAGGCTATGTTTTCCCCTCACATTGGGTTTTCTCAGAAGCCAGATGACTTATTCTGCTAACTCATGGTGGTGCAGCCACCAGACCCAACATCAGCCGCCAACAGATCCAGCACTGTTGAGCGCCACGAAGCCAGACAAAGGCAGGAAGGACTAAATTGGGGCCAATCCCGATAATATCCCTTGAAGGTCTCTTTAGGAGTTCCCCGACTCCTGCCCCCGGAAAGGCTGGCCCTTTGCTAGAAATTTCTAGAAATAGCTAGAAATCGTTAGCTATTTCTGTCCTTTTTCCTCTACCTCCTCAATTGCTTCTCTACTCCTTTCTGCCCCTTTCTCAGTCCAGCACCCTTTTTCACTCTTCATTGCTGTTGTTTCTTCCTTCCTGGAGTTTTGGAAACACTTTCTCTTCTCATCTCTGTGTCCGGGGTGGCGAGTTCACAGCTTAAAGCCCACAGTTAGCTCATCCCGGCTTCCTATGAAACCCTTGAAGCAAGTGTGAGGAAATTTTGAAGTGTCTAACTAGAACAACAAACCAGATAGGAAATGAAAGCAAATCCATTTCACATATTTCTGGGGAGAAATGATCAATTGCGTTCAGTTGAGTCATTAATTTTTGATATATTAACATTTTGAGGAAAACAGTCTAACCGTCAATGTGAGGGGAACACCGTGCTCCTTCTGCGTCTGGGTGACTTCCACATATGCTCCTTCTCAGTTCGTCATCCTTGTATGTACAAACCCTGCCAAGTTCTTTCTAGAACACAGTCATTTCAGTGACTATTTTTATATGCATATAAGCTTGCCTTGATAGAAGGCAAGCTTAGACTGTGCAAGTAGATTTAATGAAAATAGGATATATGTCCGTCAAGGACCTCCATCTCTTCTGCCCCCCAACCCTCTACGCTCACCCACCCCTTCTGCATCTGCCTGTTTACTCCATTCCCACAACCCAAGTCTAGCACTTTCCACTCTCCCACCTCTATCCCAACTCATGCATATTTTCATGTATACTTCAGTCTCACAATACAATGGATCTAGCCATTTCCAATCCTTCAGTCCCTCCGTGTAAACGCGCACACATACTCCGCCCCCATTACACAGGGAGTCTAGCATTTTCTGACCCTCCACCACATGTACGTCTCCAGGCACACTCCTTTCCCATTACAAATGGTGTCTAGTTATTTGTCCTATATAAAGTTGCTCTAAGGTTCTTAGGTTCCGAATATGTTGATTTTAGTTAAAATTGAACTTGGATCATGGTAATTCGGAATTTGTGATAATTTGGATAGGCTTAGCCGACGTTTACGCATATAGTGGCTGTGAAAAGGGGCTCTGCCAAAAATAATAATAATATAAATCAAATTGCAGAGGGGAATGTTAACACAGTTGAGAAAGCAAACCGTTTTCAAACATTTTAGCAGCAATTATATACAAATAGTTGAAGAACAGATAATCTCTCCTGTCCATTAAAGCAGAGCTGCCTGAGACTTTTCCATGGCAATCTATATTGTTTAAAGCTGATAGTTTATCTAATACTCCCAAGTACTTGAAAGCAATATCACTTCGATTCTTTTTTTTTTATTGTTTATGTAATTGTGTTTTCACTGTTCCAGATTTTCTTCTGGATAAGTTTGAATACTTGAACTTTTGTTTAATTGTATGCTTACTGTAGTGCTGTGTTTCTACAGGGTTTCTGGGAAAGCCAAATGGAGCTCAGAAAGCTATATGGACCTCTGTGTGGGTAAGAGGGAAATGCTGTTTTTCTACCATCTGTTTTGAATTTTGTCTGTTTAATTGATATGGAAGTTAACGGCGAGATGGGAACGTTGCATGTGTTTCTATCTTTTGAGGGCTCACAAAGAGTGCCTGGAAGCACAGATGAGGTCCCTAGAAAAGACCCCAGAGGAGGCTGTGCTAGCCTGAAACAGCACCACTTCCCAGCCTTTAAGACCCTACCTAGCTGGGTCAGGCCCTGGGTGTCCTCACCATCTCTCACCACAAAGGGTATAGAAGGGTGTGCTGCAATGGGACACGTGGCCCTCCAAGCCTTGGTCTAATTTGACTTGATGACCCGTGGCAGGTCTTTCCCCAGGAACTTGCCTTAACCCCACTTGGACCTATTCTGTTCAACCCTATGGGAAAAACATACATTCAGCTGTATGACCATGTCATCTACCATCCCATCCAGTATACTTTTCAAAGTGAAAGGGGGTGCTATTGATAGTTACCCCAGGACAAAAGTAGAAAGTAAGCCTGTCCTGGGTATACTGGGATATATGGTCACCCTAGTTCTCAGCCATGTAAAGTAATACAGCCTTTCCCTTCATTTTTCCCTTTTGTGCTTCAGCGTATGCTCCCCGCCCACCTTTTTAAAAAAAATGACATTCCAGAATCTGGTGAAGAAACCCATGATCAGACCATTTACCCGGTTTAAGATTTCACAGGCGTGAATCCTACCGCTTCTCAACATGCCTTTCCATCCTGGAGTCCTAATCATTTCAGCCTGTTTTCACACAGCTTCTCCTCAGCTACTGGGTGATTTTTCAGTAGCTCTTTTCCAGACCTCCAGGTTGCTGAGAACTTTTGTAGGTGCAGTCAAGTTCTGTTGTGTTCCCAACGTACAGCCCGATGGGGGCCAGGAGCTTGTGAGCCCTTCAATCAGAGGACCGTTCTCCCAGTGATGATTGTTGACAGGGATTGACTTGTACCCTTTGTGGAAATAGCCCCACCCAGGAGACCCCCAGTTTTGGCCAAGTTCTTCCAACCGCTCTTTAGTTTGCTATGTGACCCTACAAAAATAATAAATTAAGATGCGCTCCGTATTAGTTTGTTATAACGAACTATTCTAAAATGCAGTAACTTAAACAACAAATTATTGTGTGTCTAAGGGTTGGCTGGGATTGACTGAACTAAGCCACCCTTAGTTCAGCTGGGCTTCCTGGTGCATCTGGAGGTCAGCTGGGGAGGTGGTTTATCTAGGCTGCGCTCACGTGGGGTATCTCTCCTCCGTCTATCTCTCATCCTCCTTGGAACAGCAGGCAGGTTGGGGCAGGCTGTTCCCACGATGAAGGCAAAAGTTCAAGAGAGCAAACCCAACAGCACAAGAAAATTTCAAGTTCCTGTTGCATCGCGTTGGCTAACATCCCATTGGCCAAACCAAGTTATGTGGCCAAACCCAAAGTCAGGGCAGGAAGTCATGTGGCCAAGCCTAACATTGATGGAGCTGGGAGATATATTCTTCTGCTGGAAGGGCAGGGAGATGGTGCATCTCCTTCAATAATAAGCAACTCTTCCTCACTCTCTAAGATCACTTTTAGCTTGGTTTTCTCTTCTCTTCTCTTTTCTCTCTCTCTCTGTCTGTCTCTCTCTCTCCTCTCTCTCTCTCTCTCTCTCTCTCTCTCTCTCATAGCTTCTTGCTTTAAGCATGATAGGTACTCAATGAAAGCTCAAGGGATTGAACTTTATCTTTCTCTTGTGTTGTTCTATTGTTTTATAAAAGTTCTCATTCCAGCCTTCTCTTTCCAATAGTCTCATTCTGCAGTTGACTTGATACTGACTGACCTTGGAGACTGTCCCATATATTTCTGAGACGTAGCACTGACTCAGAATGATGATAGCTTCCCGAGAATTAGAAAAAGGCCTCCTTGAGTTTGAATTCTAGGAATCACTTTTCTTCAGTACTTCTTGTGCAGATTTTCAGAGTAGAGCCGTTGGATATTTTTAAGCAATCTTAAAATTTCAGGTGAAGAGTTTAAAGGGCACTGTATTTACTGGTGGGGACATGGAGTGTGTGTGTGTGTTTGTGTGTGAGAGAGAGAGAGAGAGAGAGAGAGAGAGAGAGAGAGAGAGAGAGAGAGAGAGAGAGAGAGAGAGAGAGAGAGAGAGAGAGAAAGCACGAATTGGTTTCCTTGACAACAGGATGTCCAATCAACTTTCCCCCCAACTTTAACTAAGTTAACACCATTTATCTTTTTCATTTCAAGAAAATTTAAATCAAAGAGAATATTTCAAATGAGGTTGCAGAGACAGAAATTGCAGTGTTCTCTCCACTTTTTGTTCCCACTTCTGATGAAAGGGGAAAAAAAAAGAAAGGTGATGGCATAATTTCTTCATACAAAGCTACCAATTTTTTCTACTCTAGAAAAAAAGATGAGCCATAAAATGCTGACTTCTTTTTAAATGTGGCCACTTCTGGATTTAGTACTAACATGGTGGTGGGGCGCTCAAAGTGCTGCTGGTCTCTGTAACCATGATGACACTCAGTATGTTCACCTTTCAAAATGAAAGGGTTGAGCCAGCCTATATTTAAGGTCCTTTCTAGCCCTAAAAATTATTTTGTTACTGTTTAAATTTAAACAAAATGGTTTCACTGATTGGGGATGTCAAGCATGGACTACATTCAATGAAAGACCCTTCCTTTAGGAAATAATTTCGTTTAAATTATATTAATTTTTAGACTACTTTTGTCATTAGAAAGTATTATCAATCCCAGAGTGATTCTCTTAAAAACTGAAATAGATTGATTCACCATTTGACAAGTAAAACCCCACACTGTTACTCCCTATAGTATGTCTTAAATGACAGGACAGAGCTGTGTTTGGGGAGAAATACGGACCTGAAAGCCAAACATGGTGATTATTTATGCTTATTATCAGTTGTCATCATAGTAAATCAGTCCAAGTTTGGGTCCCCAAACTGCAAATCAGCTCCTTGCCCATTTTCCCTCCCAGTCACTGCTATGGGGGAAGATATTGTTGGAGAAGCTTTCGGCCAAGAAGGGTTGATAACATTAGTGTTTATTATCACCACCATCACCAACCACCACCACCACCACCACCATCACCACCAGCATCACCACCATCACCGCCAGCACCACCACCAACAAAATGTCTTTACTGAATGTCTAATTATGTAGCCTGCTTTGCCAGCCTGTGTGCAGAGAAAACTACACACATTGTCTCTGTCTTTTTTGAACTTGAATGTAAAGTGGGTGGACTGACCCTTGGCAACATAATATGAAGAAAGCAAGGCTTTATCACTTTAGATAGCCTTTAGTCAATTAACGAGGACTGGTTATCTCCTTCAGTCTGAGAATGAGCCCTAAATTGGATTTATATTCCTTCCCAAACCCTAAAAGAACAGTATCAACATAATCATCACACACTTGTGATTGAATATAAACAGGATCGAGATTATGCCCCCTCCAATTTGTAATTGATTTGGTAATCCAGTGGATGACAGGCCTTTATTATGCTATTACTATTAATTACTTATAAATACTTGCACAGCAACCTAAGTTCAGCTCATTTGTAACTCTAAAGGCTTCTATCCAGAGCCTCTTGTCTCTTTAGCTCATCTGTCTTTTAAGTGATAGCTCTGCAGTTACTCTATTGTTTAGCCTCATCCCCATTTCTTCTTGCCCTCACATCACTTTAATCTTGATTTCTAGTATAAACTTATCTCCCTTTTGTTGAATTTGACTTGCATCCTTCCTGATGTCCACCACCTCTGCCCCGCCATTTGATTAGTGGCACTCGGTTCCTGTATCCCTTCATCAAGCCAGATTTGTTGACTAATCTCATATACTCTCACTAGAACACTAAGCTATAAGCAGGTAAATATGCAGACTGTACACAATTCATAAAGTGCAGATGAGTATAGAGAAGAAAGGAAACTGACTTCTACCTTGGACCTTTAACCACTTCTCGGAACAACCTCTGTTTTCAATTTCTTAATTCTCAAATGGATAATATCTGATAGATGCTGTTCTTTATCTTGCTTTGTTCATTTATGATCACCTGGAAAATTGCCCCATTTCAATACATTCATTCTTGGCAAATGCTATTCTGTTTTTTAAGGATTCCACTGTATGGATGTATCTGAATTTTTAAAACACGTTCTCAATTGATGAACACCTTTTACTTTTATAAACAATACAGCAGTGAATACTCTCGTGTATACGTTATTGCTGTCTTGTGTAAGTACGTCTGTAGGCTAAATTCCTAGAAATGAAATTGTTAGGTCAAAGGTTACCTACATTTTTATTTTGATAAATATTACTAAATTGCTCTCTTTATGGGTTATATCAATTTATACTCCCATAAATACGTGTATGAGAACATCTGGTTCTCTTACATGATTGCCATTAAAATGTGTGGTCACAATTTTAAATCTTTACCATTTGATGGGAGTTTAAATTTGCGTTTCTCTATGAGCGAGTTTGAGCATCTTTTCGTATGTTTAAAATCCATTGTGTTCTCTTTTCTGAAGAATTCTTTGCTACTTTTCCATTGGGTTATTGATCTTTTCCTAATTGATTTATAGAAGTCCTTTATATATTAAAGAAAATTGCCCTTTATATTTAATATATGTTGAAAATGTTTTCTCCTTTTTATCCTTTGACTTTGTTCATCTTGTATTTTTTCCAGTCAGAAAACATTTGTTGTTGTGTTGTTGAATTGAATTAATTTTAATGGTGTCTACATCTTGTATCTTACTCAGAAAGGCTTTCTCCACTAAGGATTTTTTTTTAACTTCCAGTTTTGTGATATTTTTTATTTCATTTAAAAAATTTAGAGATTTGATACATTAGGAATTTATTTGAGGGTAAGGGTGGGAGTAGAGATCCACTCTTATTTTTTCCAGGTGGTGGTATTCCATCTGGGAATTCATCCTTTTCCAACTGATATGAAATATCACTTTTATCATTTATTAGTTCCCATATGTGTTTCTGACACGTCT